AGTTAGATTTTCCAAAATGACATTTATTGGGAGGTGACTTCTCCAAAAAATATTTTTTCTAACGGCGTGCAGCTGTGATGGGTTGTGTACAAGCTAATACGGTGTCAGTATGGTATATATTTATACTTATCCAACCACAATTAAATTCACTCTATCCAGGAGACACAATTTACAAGGATAGTATTTTCTTTAAGTAATAACAACTCAGAATAAAATAGGAGTAACGACTTTCTACTTCTAACCTTTTCAAAAAAATGTAGTGAGTAGAAAGTACAGATAGTTGTGTAAAAATGTAGTGAGTAAAAGTAAAAAGTACGATGAAAAATAATTACTCAAGTAAAGTACAGATAACCAAAATTTCTACTTAAGTACAGTAACAAAGTATTTGTACTTAGTTACTTTACAACTCTGCCTATTGTTAGGCGATGGCTCTCTTTTGCATGTGACTAACCTGTTTGTCCATGTGGAGGCAGTGCTTATAAGGCTGAGTTCACCTGAAACTCATCAGACTGAAGAAGTCTCTTAGAGGAGAGACGAAACGTTTCACTAAAGAAGAACCCATCCAGAGGACCTACTTATTTCTTTTTGATAAGGAGACTTGTGTTTGGTAGAATTATTTCAATGCTTCTTGGCAATAAATCTTATAGCAGCACCTGGGGGTATCAGAAATGCAAAAAAAGTGTCGGTAGCAACAACAAACATACTCAGCTCTACTGCTCATCCCACAAATGCATGTTCCTTACAAATGTGGCACCATGTAGGGATATTAACAGGCTTTCCAACAGTATAAGATTATCGTCAAGAAGCATTGAAATAATCTATCAAACACACATTTCCCTACTTTTTGTGCCAAGTTTAAATTTGTGTATTAATCAGTGACTACTTTTAAGTCTGACACAAGCAGCAGTGAAAGCTGTGTAATACCTAAGTGGTGAGTCTCCTCCCTCAGCTTCATGCTTTCAGAGAAAACAGCAGGTGAAACCTTCGTCCGCGAGTTCAGTCGGACCTTCAGGTCACTCAGGCTGGATACAAGTTTGTCCAACCCAGATCCTGAACACAAAGCAATGAATGAAGATCAACAGCTCACATAAAAAAAACACACAAGTTAATCACACATTTAAATGATATACATAACAAGATCCGACTGCATTTACCCGGGGTGTGGTCCTGTGTGACCCTCAGAGAATACAAAGTGGCAGCAAATCCTGAACCGTAGGAGAAAACTCCAACCCTCTGTCCTGCTAACTGTGATGATGTATGTCTGCAAAACAAACAAGAAAATGATGTGAAAAAAACATTTCATCAAAGAAGTTTGAGTAAATCAGTAACAGAGCTGCCAAGAAAAACAGCATGACAGATGTGTAATATAAAAGTTAACATTTTAAGCTCTTGCTCTGCAAAAAATGTCCACCTAAGCAAGTTTTAAAATCTTATATCAGCCAAAAAAGTCTTTTTTGATCTTGTTTTGAGACTGATTTACTAAACAAGAACTGATTGTGTAAGAATGATAATCTTGTTTTCAGAATGTAAGATTATTTGTCTTGTTCGCCTGAAAATTTCACTCAAATTAAGTCAAAAATTTCTGCCAATGAGGTAAGAAAATTTACTTCATAAGATTCTTGAAATACTTGATTTGACTCATTTTTTTCTTATTTCTTATCTTACCAAGTAAATTTTCTTACTCCATTGGCAGAAATTTTTGACTTAATTTGAGTCAAAATTTCAGACTAATGAGACAAATAATCTGACACATTCTGAAAACAAGATTATTATTCTTACATAATCAGTTCTTGTTTAGTAAATCAGTCTCAAAACAAGATCAAAAAAAACTTTTTTGGCTGGATATAAGATTTTAAAATTTGGTTAGGTGGATATTTTTTGCAGTGAATTAGATTGATCTCTAGGAAAAGTCAGATCAGAATAAATAAATCTGATACAGCTGTTGGTGAACAGACGTACTCTGCAAGAACAGACGCCAGGCAGCCATAGACAGACGGCGTGTACATGTTTCCGTTCTGGTTGGAGATCAGTAAGGACGGCTTGGTCTTCCTCTCAAACAGCTCTGCGCTGGCCTTCATGAAGGCCTTCTCCACGTCCCTGTCAAAATACGTCTCTTCTGGTTTTATATCTCTGCGAACAAAACACAGAAAGCAGCAGTTTAACTACAAGCTTCTTTATTCATCTTACAGAGAAAATCGTGTTTTATTTTCCCCATGAAGAAACCTTCTGATTGGAGCCCATTCTGCTAATTTATGTGGGTGATGAACATAAAAAAAACACAGATTTACTGGCAGAAAACACAGTATTTATAATTAACACTTCAAGCTTAGAACAAGTGTTTGACAAAAGTTATGGGAACAACATTAAGGACGTCTCAGCTGAGGTTTGGTGTTTGAACTTTTCCAAAACTGTGGTGACAAAATGTGAAGCTGCAAACTTTTAACAGGTTATCTTCGTTAGAAAATGAAATTTGGGATAAATTGTAGATTATTAAAAACCGTTAAAACCACAGCTCCTAACCTCAGTTTAACATCTATTATTTGGAAGAAAAGAAAATGACTGTTTGAGAGTTGATGAGTTTAATAAAACCTCCAGGAAGCAGAGTCGTATAGCACATATTTTTCTTGGCTAAAATGGCTTTTAAGGCAGAAATTTCAGCTCCTGGAGTGGCCTCAGAAGATAAATAGAAATTTTGGGATTACTTTGAACCCTGAAGAAGATGATTTGAGGAAGCAGGCAATAATGATTTTTGATACACAGTGTTTTATTTCTGCCTTCATGCCTACATCAGCTTCACAACAGCTCATTAATCAGGTTATATTAAAGCAGTACCTGAAGAATTATTGTTAAAGTTTGTGAATGTAGCATTTGAACAGAGTCATTCATGCAGTTTTGATCATCGAAAGGACAGAAAGCACAAAAACAAAGAGTTTTTCTAAGCCAGGGCGTAATTATAAACTCCTACAACCTAAAAAACACACAGCATGACCAATTTTTGTGTTCATCCACACTTCAAACACACCAGACTGAGTAAGCTGCAGTCCACAGCAGCACTGACACCCTGATCAGGGGATGACGGTCAGGGAGGAGCAACACACTTAAGGAGACTTCATTTGCCTAATCTGCTCTGAACTGTAGACATCAGAGGAAATGCAAAAGATACAAGGCTGAAATTATCGTAGATCTTAATGAGAAAAATAAATGAATAAATGAAAATCAGCAGTGGTTTAGGTTCTGGGTGCTACTAGTCAGAAAACATCTCCAAAAAGTAAAGTTAAAGTCACATGAATGCTTTTCTGCACAGACACCCTATGATCAGGATTACATTAATGCTATCAGGTAACTGGCACACGATTAGTAATTTGATTAGTGTAATCAAATGCACATTAGCAGGATTAACACTGCTGTAGTGCTCCCATCAGCTGTGCAGGAGGATATTCTTTTTTTTCTCCCCACTGTGAGAGAATACTAACTAGTTATTCCTGCATTAACCATGAAAGCTCCGACCTAAATATACCAAACTGGAACCAGGATGTAAGGCTTCATGTACCTGAAGGCGTCCAGGCCTGCGAAGTGTCCCGTCTCCGTGTTGGGACTGGGGTGGTTCAGGAAATCATTCAGCATCAGTCGAGCCAACGACTTCTGCACCAGCTTGCAGTACGGAGAGTGGAAGACTAAAAACCCAAAGTCCTCCAGGCTGAAGTGCTTCTCTGAATCATCTGTTGGAAAAACATATATTTAAAAACGTTGCTTTAAATAAATACTGTGTGGTCACAAGATGCGGTGGTACTACAATTAGAGCACCAACACTTTGTCCTGACTTTAAAGTTTAATCAAAATCACCACTATAACCAGGGAAACAAATGATGCTGTGTCTATGTGCTGTAGTGACCATAAAAAAGCTGTTTAACATACAGAGATACATGTTTTTTCTATCTACACAGGGACTTTCCATCTATTTTAATTTATTTAAATAACCTAACCCATAATAATAAACCCAAAAACATCATCTGAACTTATTTGGCCTGGGGCTTTGGCCAACGGAGCAGTGGGTCCTCACAAGGTGGTATATTTTGGAAAACTGGGCCTTGCAAGGAAACAAAGACACACCAACAACTACTGCAGAACTGTCAATGGGAGGGTTATAACATTTTTAAGTGATTTCTTTATAATTAAAATAATTCATCCATCCATTATCTATATCAGCTTCTTCCTTTCAGGGTCAAGGGGGTCACTGGTGCCTAAATCCAGCAGTGCGAGGGGTGGGGTACACTCTGGACAGGTCGCAAGTCCATCACAAGGACACATAGAGACAAACAACCATTCACTCACTCACATCTAGGGACAATTTAGAGTTATCAGTTAACCTAACAGTCATGTTTCTGGTCTGTGGGAGGACCTGGAGAAAACCCACTCATGCAAACTCTACCCAGAAAGGTCCCCAGGCCGGGATTCGACCCGGTAACCTTCTTGCTGAGAGGTAACAGCTTTATCAACTGATCCACCAAATAAATAAAAAACTAACTTAATCAAAATAAAACAGAAAAAAATCACTAGTTTCCATCAATTTGTAGTGAGTAACTGAGTGCTTGTGGCCACTAGGTGGCAGCACATACTAATGTTTACACAATGAGCAGACTTGAGCTTATTAAAACAGAAACAGGCCAAAATAATAACAGAAATAAAATAACTGGTCTAGACTACATGGGTTGAAAAACCATAAAGATTTTTTTTCTTGTTTTAATGCTACGATTTTTCTTATTTGTCAGGAAGTTTTGATACTAATTATAAAATTCTAATCTAACATGATAGCATTTTTGCCTAAGATTTTCTGTCCACTTTAAGTTAAATTACTCTTTTTCTCTGAAAACCTGAAATAAAGCTAACAGGAGGGAGGAAAATTAAAAATAACTTGTTTTAACAAAAATTAGCTTTTTTTTCCCCGAGATTCATAAATAAGTCTATTTTTATTATTTTTAATCAGATAAGTATGAACCATTGTTAAAATCAGCTCTGTTATAATGTGAATAAATGTACTGAATTTATGGTCACTACAGTCTTTAAATCAAAACCATTATTAAACACCGTCCTTTAAATTACTTAAATTACTCTGTGATGTTCTGACGAGCACAGCATTCTCACTCACTCTCTCTCACACACTTGAGAAGTTTGTAATAACAGCATTTTGATCTTTAGATGCAACATTGACCAGTGACTGAAAGCTCCAGGTTGGAAACTGAACACACAAAATGTGTCTCCTAAAGTTCAAAACTGATTGTAGAGACATATGATCACAGATAGATGTGACCTCCTGACCACTGAAGCAGGAAGACGCTGGAATGACCTCTGATGGAGTAAAACAAGCTGCAACAGCAGCCACCTTGCTAGGTGCTACACCAAACACTGTGTATTGTTTACATGTTGAAGCCAGACATTGTTGATGCCTAGTGTGTTCTGTGTGCTGCATCGGTCCAAAAATACACAGCAATGGTTTTATTTGACCTTTATAAATGTAAATAACAGTGTGAAAAAAAAGGGGAGGAGGATTCTGTGATACACTTCAACAAGCCTGGTCAGGTGTTAGTGGTGGCAAAATGCTGACCCCGTGTGCTATCACTATTATAGTAAAATGACCAAGTTCTGTAATGATTCTAGCCAGAACTGTGCACTCTTATGCTGCGTTCACACCGAACGCGATTTCAGCTTCAAAATCGCAGCCAACGCTGAAGTTGGTCGCTTGTGCACTTTGAGGTCAGACGCAGGTCAGCTCTTGAAGCGCTGCACGGCAACAGCCTCCCCGCCCCTCCCTCCTCTGTCGGGCTCTGTTTAATGTCGGACGAGGAAGTGGCTTTGCTTTATTTACAGAGAGCAAGAGCATGTCACGTTCATCAGATAATTAATTCATAATTAATTCACCAGATAATTCAGAGACATTCTGAGTTTCATCACCCAGGAGCTGCGAGAGAGGCTCACAGCTCGCTTTCAGGACTATTTTTGTCCCGAGTCCAGTCTGATGAGTCGCTGCCACGCATTGGTGCGGATATCTCCTGTCAGGACACCGACTGCAGGCACTCAATTTCAGCTAAAGAGCTCCTCTCCGTCTGTTTCAGGTTAGTGGACATCATTCAGTAAACTGTCCCGTCGGGAAATATGTCGCTACGTCACACAGTGGAGTCTCTCTGATTGGTTGACGCGGCGCGTCGAGCTGAAAAAGTTCAGATTTTCTAACTTCAGCGATTTGCGCCTCAGCGTTCAGATCGTTCAAATCGCGCTGCTCTAATTGCGCTTGAGGCGCCGCAGCACTTCCCGACGTTGCTTGAAGCGCGTCCACCATAGACTTTGCATGTAAACCTGATGCTCCTGATGCTGAAATCGCGTTTGGTGTGAACGCACCATTAAACCTCACCTTATCACACAGACAGTGCAGTAGTTGGTTATATACCAGTGTGTTTCTACTTCAGTGCTCAGACAGTGTTTTGATACGTGAAAAGAACATGACATGACGTCTACATGCCATGTGTTGAACCCACCTCTTTGCCGCTGTGCGTGGATCTTGTTGCGATACACGGAGTAGCAGCGGTCCAAGGCACTGAGGTAGCATTCGATGGACAGCTTGCCGTCCACCACAGGGTACTCGGACACCATGTCTGGCTTGTAGAAGTCATACGCGTGCTGCATGTGGGTTCCCCGCAGACCTACAGGTTCCAAACAAGTTTTAAAGACAAGGATCTACTGCTGTAACAGCACACTGTGTCGCTCCTCAAGCTGTCAACATTAAACCACTACTGTTCATTAATGCAACAGTTAAAGCCCTTTTTGTTTAATTAAAACATAAATAAAAAGGAAAAAAAGAGAGAGAGAGCGAGAGAGAGAGAGATCCAAAAATAAAATCAAACTCAGCACTGATTAGTTCAGATGACCTTCAGGACTCTGGAACAGAAGTCATCTGGAACAATCAGTGTTCGTCAAACAGTTATCAGCGAGCTAACCTCGTTCGAAAGCCAAAGGAGCATTAGGCCCGACCAGCATGGCCACCGCTCCAGCACCGCCCGTAGGCCGTGCACTTCCTGTGGCGTAGACTGCAATGTCTCCTGCAACCACCAAAGCATAACGTCCTGCAGACAAAAGAGGAATGTAAGAATTAAAGGAGCACAATACTGTCTGCCATTTTTTTTTACAAAATGACTAGAATAACAAAGAACAGCTACAAAACAATATCTGAACAGAACGACAGGTAAAAGGTATATATAGAGCAAGAACATACATGTCATGTTTTCAAGAATTTCAAGAATTATCAGTTTGATAAAGATCATGTAAATGAGGCAGAGAGCTGCAAAAATGTATTTCTGTAGGCAGCTGAGACCTAAAGAGAACGTTTGTTAGTTCAGATTAGAAAACGTGATTAACCATAAGTTTTTCCAATTGTGATTTTGGAGGTTTGGTTATGAGTCCATTTTGACTAGTCCTAATGTAATTTCTCAGCTGTAAAAATTTAATGCTTGCTATCCAACTTATATTTACACCTAAGTTCTTCAAAAAGACACCATATCATTAGATTCAGTCAAGTACAAGTCTTGAATCTTTTCTATTCCTTTAGAGCTCCAGTTCTTAGACACATCATCTGCTCTAGTAATAATAGGGGTATATACTGAGATAATAAATTAGACTCTCGAATATTATTTTTCACCTCAAACCATTCTTTAATCATATTCTTTGTTATACAATTATTTGTTTGATTAACTAATTTGGACTGTTTATCAGAGTTCAAATACAATGGGAAAGGTAAATTTAATCCTTCAATTTCCATTTCCCCCCAATGTGTAATTCTGTATTAAAGTGGAATTTTATTGTTCTTAATCTTGCAGCCCAAAATTAACATACTTTTTAGTGAATTTCTTCTAATCTCAGACGCAAAATCCAAATTTGAAAAGCACGAGTGAAAATTCATAAAACAACTATGACTGTTGAAGCTGCTGACTTTTGGCTGTGATGTAAAGCAGCTCCTGATGCTCATTGTTTCTCAGGGCTCCAACTTTCCCCTCTAGCATTAAGTAAACTAACTTTTTCTTGAGTAGTATCCATCTTTCCTCTAGTACAGAGGTGCCCAAACATTTTCCCAAGAGGGCCAAAATGAAAATCTATTCACGGCTGCGGCCAAATGCAGTAATATAATACATGAAATACAAATACTTTTTAAGTAAAGTCCTTTATTTTTAACAATTAAGCTAGCAGCCAGTGCAATGGCCCTCTTTTGTTTTAGTCAGGGCACTTGGAGAAAGTCTGCCTTACGCTCAAGTAGCAAAGGCTCATGGGACATTTTACAAATTGATAAAATATGAGTTTTTGCAGCCTTATAAAGTGTGCAAATCTACATGTAGGGTTAAATCTGATCTAAATATCTCTTGTTGTTACTTCATGTTTCCCGTTTAATCTTAATATATCAAAGATAAAGTCAGCACCATGAATGAAAACTACCTTCAGCCCTTTATATAGTCATTTGACCAATGGAAATCCTGTGTTTCTACCTAGGATGACAGGTTAAAACCTTGTAACTTTGGCAACTGTTGGTGGGCCAAATCAAATGTTGGTGGGCCAAATTTGGCCCACGGGCCCCACTTTGGGCTACTCTGCTCTAGTAAAACAATGCATCTGCTTACTACAAATACACAAATTAGTAAAGCTAATTAAGTGTTCAAAACGTGTTTTATGGATTTCTGTTACAACTGCCTTCATGTACTTTTCTAATGTAATTGATACAAAAAAAATCCATATTAATCATTCTTTGGAGCATCAAAGTCAAAGTCAGACGGACCTGACCGCTGAACTTACACACAAAGATAAACGTGCTATTATCTCTTGATGTTGTCCAAACTAAACAACCTCTGAGTTGAAGTAAAACAATGAGAACTGATATTTTAAGTCGTTTTACTCACCATCCCACGAGCTGGACTCCACCCAGTTAACAGCATTGAAGAGGGCCGCCGTGCCGCCGTAGCAAGCGTTTGTCGTGTCGATGCCTTCCACATCTGTGTTACCGGAGTCCTCAAACAGCTGCATGAGGACCGTCTTCACCGACTTCGACTTGTCGATGATGGTCTCGGTGCCGACCTCCAGCCGGCCGATGCTGTCGTAGGACAGGCCGTTCCTCTCCATCAGCCTCTGGACCACGGTCAGGCACAGGGAGTTGATGTCCTCTCGGTCTGAGCAGAAGCCCATGCGAGCTTGGCCCAGGCCTATCGTGTATTTCCCAGCTGGTACGTTGTCGAACTGCTCCAGCTCAGCTTGGTCCACGTACTGGGATGGAAAGTACAGCTCCATGGCAATGATACCCACATCTTTGGGCCACGGTCCCAAGCAACTGATCGGGGCTGAGCCAGGCATCCTGAACATGTTGGAAAAGAAGTGTATGTTTAGCAGAGTTTGTCGACAAGAAGCTGACTGGGATTTGCCCACCAACTCCTAATGAGTTAATGGGGATGGACACGTAATAGAGGTGAAACTAACTCAGCAGCTCAAAGTACATCCTCCTAAATCTGAGGGAGACTAAGCACCACTAAACCAACCCTGCTTCTGGGTTACTGTAGGTTTTAAAACCCTCTCGAACAATGTCATTAGGCGATAAATAAAACGTAACTAATATTGTGTTATTGCTATATTGCTTGCTTTTCGTTAAGTGAATGCAGGCTAGCAAAACATAGCATGTTAGCCACGTTACCTAAACATTTTTCACAACAGTTAAGATAATAAGCCACTTGTTTTCACGTGGGGTCATTAACAAGCACAGCGAAAGAAAACATAAGGGTGGCTGCTCAAAAAGCATTAGTGAGTAGTTCTCAAAGCAATGCCGGCTAATTAACGAGATAGCTAATTAGTTCAGTTTAAACCGTGACAACGGCACACAGCCACTGAATAAGGTCATAATCGCCACTGCACGTACCTGAGCAGTCACATGCGTTAGGACTTTTGGAAGTATGTCCCCAAATTAAAGGCGAAAAATGAACTAGGTGAAAGGGCGGCAGGACAGGATGTCCCGGCCGGAACCAAGCAGTCGGTGGCAGTTTACCGAGGGTAACCCTAACGGATCAGGTATAAATAGTAACTCGACAGGAGAACTAAAAATAGGCACAATTACGGAAATATGTCAGCGTTACAAATTTTCTACTCGTGAATAATAAACCCGTAAAGAAATACAAGCACGTTTTCAAGTTCAAACAAGTTTCTGCCCGGAACAAATTAACTGACGGACTCGGTTCGTCTCTCAACTCGTCGTCTTGCCTTAAAACACATTTTTTTGACAAGCGACTGTCATAACCGCGCTATTCACTGATAACATTCTTTAATATGAATGAAAATCACAAATACGAAATGTTCTCATAAGTTTTTTTTTTAACCCAATAAATATTAGGAGCGGCAAAGCATCTCACCTGGGTGTGGATTCAATTCTTGTGAAATGAAATGTTCCTATCGAGTTCCGGACAGTTTAATGCTCAGCAGCACCACTCGCCTGGCAGAGCTGGGTTTATATTTGGAGTGATACGGCAGACCTTCCTCCGCTACACCTGGCACCATACCCAATCACAGCTCACACACCATGCAGCGCAACGATCTGGACCGGCGTCTGACCAATCAGACATTAGGGATCAAGGCTACGCGTCGCAGCTGTGGCGGCTGTCCAATGAGGAGACGTGTACGATGTATGGTGAGAGAGGAGTAACCAATCAAGTTGCAGATTACATTCATGGCGCTGTTAGTGGGCAGAACTTAAAGTGTACGGTGTTTATTTATCTCTAAGAACCATGTAAGTGCTTTATTGTAATTTCGCAGTTTCCACATTCAATACTCAGGTATCCACCCGAGTATGAATGAATATATATAATAT